CAAAGAATTTATACACATATATGCACAAGCCAAGGACATGGACAATGGTGGGGAGAGGGACTGGGGAGGGGTGTGGGACGGGGTGGAATGGGTCATTGGGGAGAAAAAGGGACATATGTAATATTTTAAACAAAAATAAAATAAAATAAAAGACATATCCAGATTATGTAAAGAACTTCCAAAACTAAATAGTGGGAGAATGCACATCCTACTTTTAAAAAATTGGCAAAAGATTTAAATGGTCACTTCATTAAAAAAAGATACATGGATGGCAAATAAGCTCATGAAAGGATGTTTAACATCATCAGTCATTATATAAATACAAATTAAACCTACAATGAGATACCACTGCACATCTTTTAGGCTGTCTAAAAAGTGTGGGTGAGAATATGGAGAATCTAGAACTCTCATTCACTGCTGGTGGGAATGTAAAATGGAACAACCACTTTGAAAAATAGTTCGGCAGTTTCTTAAAAAGTTAAACATACACCTACCACAAACATACACCTACCACCTAAATGACAACCATTTCACTCCTGGGTATTAATCCGAATAAAAGCATGTATGCACTCACAGACTTGTGCATTGATGTTGATAGTTTTGTTTGTAATAGCCAGAAACTGGAAACAACCTAAAAGTCCAACCAAATTGTAGCATATCCATATAATGGATTATTACTCAGTAATAAAAAGAAATAAACTATTGATACACTCGGCAATTATGAATGAATCTCAAAATAATTAAGACTGATTCTCCCCCCACCAAAGCACATATTATAGTATTCCATTTATATGTAATTCTATAAAATGCAAAATGCAAACTAATTTATAGCAGCCAAAAGCAGATCTATGGTTATTTGAGGAATAGTTATGGTAGATTGTGACTGGGAGGAGGGATTACACATGGGCAGAAGGAAACTTTGGGGGGTGATAAATACATTCACTGCCTCAATTGAGCTGATGATTTCAGGGGCCTATTTGATTTTTACATATGTAAAAACCAAATAATACACTTTAAATGTGTAGGTTTTTGCATGTCAACAAAAATTCCCCATCTGAGATGTGGGGAAAGGAGAATTCTTTTCAGATGAACAGTTTGTAAATGGCGCAAATGCAGCCTCAGTTGAAAACCAAGAATGCCCTCGCCCCGTTGGGCGTAGCTCAACAGATGAGCATCGACCTAGGATCCAGGAGACTGAGGTTCGACACCTGGTCAAGACACATGCATGGGTTGCAGGCTCGATCCCCAGTCGGGGGCTTGCAGGAGGCAGCTGATCAATCATGACTCTCTCACCATTGATGTTTCTGTCTCTCTCCCTTCCTCTCTCTGAAATCAGTAAAGATATTTTTTTAAAAAAAGAGGAAATTATTATTAAAAACAAAACAAAACCTGAGAATGCCCTCCACTGAGAGGAGGGGAGGAGCACCTTTTACAGAGAATGGTCCCACCCTGGTTCCCAATTGACACATTTTATGCAAATAAATCCGAATCTGCACAGTCCTGATTGGTCGGCACTGCGTGTTCTGATTGATGATTATGGAGCAGTTCTGATGGGCCGGGATAGGTGCAAATGAGGTTATAGTTGTCCAGATTGGGTAGTATAGGGGAGGTCTCAGTTCACTAGTGGAAAGATGATACTAGGAACTCCCTACGAAGTGTTGAGTCCGGAGGCACAGCACAATGCAGGAGGCTGACAGCTCAGCTGGTGACTTTTCCTGAAATGCAGAGTGAGAGGCCTCAGTGAGCAAAAGCCACAGACTCTGATAATGAATTTGGGCCCTGTTAACCACGAGGAGTCCTCTTTGGCAAATATATTTCTTCTCAGGGTTCACATCAATAAAGCTGGGGTTTTTTGTTTGTTTTTAATGCTCACCTGGGGATATTTTTTCCATTGCTTTTCAGAGAGAGTGGAGGGGGTGGGGAGAGAGAGACATCCATTGATTGCCTTCCTCACTTGTCCCAACTGGGCCGGGAATCGAGCCTGCAACCGAGGTACATGCCCTTGACTGGAATCGAACCCCTGAGACCCTTTAGCCTGAGGGCCGGTGCTCTAACCACTGAGCCAAACCAGCTAGGGCTAAAGCTGTTTTTGTTTGTTTGTTTGTTTTAAAAGGGGGGGAATATAGAGAAAGAGGCAACATGTGATACCGTGAATTTCCAAGTTTTGCCATCAGACAAAGCTGGCCTGGTGTTCTTGAGCAAGTCACTTGGGATTCTCAGCTGTAGAAATAATACTGCCCTCTCATGGTTTAAGGAATAGTGGAAGCTTTGGTAAAGCATATGGCCCTTGGCTAGGCATTCAATTTTGGTGTTGTGCAAGGTGGAAGGGAAGCAGGCAGCCTGCATTCAGCTTCAAGCTCTAGTGCATTTTGGGGTTTTTTGTGTGTGTGTGTGTGTGTTTTAATCTTCACCCAAGGATACTTTTTCCATTGCTTTTCAGAGAGAGTGGAAGGGAGAACAGAGAGAGAGGAGAGAGAAGCATCGATGGGCATTAACTGGTTGCCTCCTGCAAATGCCTGGAAGGGCCGGGGATGGAGCCTGCAACCGAGTCCATGAATCAGACCAGGATTCTTCAGTCTGCGGGCAGTCGCTCTAACTACTGAACCAAACCGGCTAGCACTCTAGTGCATTTTGGATCTGTGACTTTAAGCAAGTTCCTTAACTTCCCTGTGTCACTGTCTCAGTTGTAGAGGGGATTAAATGACACAATCTGTGTAACTAGCACAGTACCAGGTACACACCAGGAGAGGAGCCATCAGTGATGTTCTCGACCGGCTGGCAGGGGTGTCGGGGCTGAGGCCTGGGAAGGCTGAGCGGCTCAGAGGGTGGAACAGGAGCGGCAGTAAAACCCACATCCCAAAGTTCCAGCGAACAGTGGGACAGGTCAGCCGCCCAACCACCAACCCCCACGCCACCCCCACCTCCCAACCTGCCCTGATTAAGCAATACTTTATCCACTGGTTTAAGATTCCATTTGGGGAGAGACAAAGCTATAATCAAGTCTTGGTTTGGTGATGAGAATCATAGTGTTACTCACTCCATTTTGAGCCTGTTGTCTTGTTTAGGAGCCCACACTATGCCTCTTAGGGATCTTCTATTAAGGGAACGATGCTAAATGAAATAAATTAGAAACAAACATAAGCCCTTTGCAAAGTTCTTGAAATGTTTTCTTGTTGCTGTTGTTTAGCAATTTAACTACACTTTCCCATTACTGATTTTTTAAAAAAAATTGTTTCCATATCTTTATAAAAGTAATTTGTGTTCATGGCAAATTATTTAGAAAATAAAATATAAGCAAAAAGAAGAAACTAAAAAATCACCTGCAAGTCTTCTACCTAGATGCCCCTGTTAACACTTTGGTATCTCCCCCTCCAGTATTTTTTCAAGGCACATAGATTTATGAGGCAGGAAAACATGCTGAGATATTAGTTTGAGTTGTGTGTGAGCCCTGTTGTGGAAAACACCCTTGCTCTGAGATGGGTCTGGTTGCCCAAACCTACTGGATGAAAAAAGAGCCCAGAGGAAAAAGAGTGGGCCAAGTGGGAGACAACTTGGATGAGACAGAGAAGGGAAACAGTAGGGAGTGCATCTCCCTCCTGAAGAGGGACAGGCATTCTGATGGGTGGTGTGTGACTCCTGTGTAGACACTAAACCCTCGGAGCCATGCAGGAGACATATGCCCATTCCTCAGGCCTCTGTGGTTCCACTATATAGTGGGGCTTTTCAGTGGTGAGACTAAAACCAGGTGGCAAGAAAGGCCAACTTGAATATAGACCTGGATGACCAATCTCATTTCTAGTGAGATAGGCTAGTAAACCAGGACAAGCTGAATAGGGAAACTGAGACAGATAGTTAACAGCCAAGCAGTTTACAGCCACCTAGGAAACTGCAAAATCGTACCTTCCCTAAACAAGGACACTTGAAGAGTAAATGGTTTACACTTCTCCCTCTAAGGTGATGAAATAGCTTAAATCACCTTACTCAGTGAGATATCAAAAATCCAGTTAGTGTGATTTGTGCCAACCACGCCAAAGGGTGGATGAAGTCAGTGGAATAAATCTCATTTTGGTACATCAGCATAAAGCTGATGGATATTCAATTGAAACCCTCCCCTAAGCCCTCCCCTAAACTCCTGGCCTTTAAAATCCTCCAGACGAAGGACCCAGGGTGCTCTCCCCCTCTCGGGAGCATGCCCCACACCCCTCCTTTCCCGCTGCCCTCCTCCCCCAGGTGTTGCCTTTGCCTGCCTCTCTCCTAGCTCCCAGGGCCCTTCTTCGGCCTCTGTAACTTATTTCTTGAGCCTACACAGCCCAGCTGGCTCCCTTCCCTTGCCTCTGCAACCTCATAAATAAACATTCTGTTGTAATTTGAGTTAGCTCTGAATTCTTTTTTTGCCGAGCTCAAGAACCAAGATCCAACTCTGCTGGTAACACCTCGTGCCCCTTTGCTGTCATTGTCGTCGACACCGCAGGTAACACTGCCATGGCGCTCCCTCGGGGTCAGCAGGGGGCCTCTCATGCTGACAGGGCACGTGTTCTTAGCCCCATTCCTCTAGGTTTTCCTTATCCCCTCTCCATGCCTTGCCTCTGGCACACAGCTAGGACATGCTGATATTCTTTCCTTGCCCTTCTTTGCTGCTTCTAACTTTAAACAAGTTTTCCTAGGGAAACTGTCAGAGATTGTTTGCTGCGAAGCCACCCCCGAAAGCAAAACCAAAACTCCGTAGGTTGGGCTTCAATTAGTTCCTGAGAAGCGGTTGTGGTTGGAGCTACTCTGACTTCTTTTTTCTTGTGGAGCAGGCTTACGGTGGCTTTTCCTTGTGCATCCTCCGGTGTCCCCGTGCCAGCTGGAAAGAAGCCTGGCTTGGGTCTACCGCTTGTTGCAGTGGCCTAGGCAGCAACCTAATTGTTTTGTTTTGTTTTGTTTTTTGGCTCCTTGTTCAGTTGGCTTCTAGGAAGGAATCTAATGGAAAGAGCAACTTTTCTTCTTTTACTTTTCTTTTGTTTGTTTTTTTGCCTGAGGAACAAGTGCCAAGTCTTCACGTGAGTATTGAGTGGGTTGAGATTTTCCGGTACTTTGAGTCGGAGGTGTGGGACATGATGGGGCTGTCACCGTGAGCTAAGTGTGGCCACACTTTCTCTCCACGTCATCGGAGGCAGGAGAAATTCCGCCTCAGACATTGTGCTCAAAGGCACAAACAAGCTAATTTCCTCCTGTCCCCAAAACAGTAGGATTTCTCTTGCTTGTCCCTTTGCTTATTAGTATTGTTGGGCAGTTTTATCAGGTGAGATATTTTTATGCACAAAATAAATGTGCACTGGAAAAAAAAAAAAAAAGGAACTATTCCTGAGATTATCTCTCAGTTTAGAATTTTTGAAGGGTTAATGGAACTTTAAAGTGTGTTTTTCTGCCTCTGACATCTGTCCTGTTAGCAGGGAGTCAACAACAGTCTGGGCTGGCCTGTGTTTACAAGCTCTGCTCTAAAAGTTAGCTGTTTAAAAACAAAACAAAACAATAATTACATTAACTTATACTGCAGACAACCATTATGTAACAAAAATGTGATCTGGGGCCTACTAAAAGGTTTATTTTTCTATGTGAAATGATGAGAGGAAAGATTAGTAAAACAAAAGAAAACTGCAACTATTTATTGCTCTCTGCCTTGGTGCACATAATAGAAAAGAAGTGACAATGGATTCGTGTAAGAGAGAGTTGGCTGTGGATCCCTCGGTTTTCGAATGTTTCAGAGCTTGAACGATTTTCCGGAGCGGATCACATTTGAAAACCGAGGTACCACTGTACCAGTAATGAGTTCCCGAACACTAGAGGTGAGTAGCAGACACAATTGAAGCAGAACAAACAGCTTAAGACACTTTAGAGAGGCTTATCCACTTGTGTTAAATGCATAAGGATGGAGGACTATGTAAGGAGATATTTAAGATGCAATACTATTTTTTTAAGTACGTGAGGAAATTGAGAGAGAGGAAAAATAAGATTAGAAAAAATAAGATGAGATCAGACATGAGAGATTAGAATTCTTAAAGCACTTGTGAGATCCTAGGCATGGAAAGTGCATGTTTTTTTTTCTGGCTGAAGCAAGATGGGCCATACCAGGGAAGGTTCTGCAGGTCACTCTAAGGAGAACTTTACCTTACAAAGAATGGGAGCTATTGAAGCCTTTTAAGCAGGGGTGACATGGTCAGATGTGAATGTTCAGTATTCAGGAGATTGTTATGCCTGCTAGGTAAAGCAATAATCTAGTCAACAAATGTTAACAGAGTGTTTGTTTACTGCCAGACAGTGTTAAAGGGGCTGAAGGCATAGTAGTAAGCAAAACAGACAAAGATCCTTGACTTAAGTGATCAGATTCTTACGAAAGATGGCAGGCAACAATATGATAAATAAGTACATTATATGGTATGTGAGATGGTAATGAATGCTTTGGAAAAGATACAGATAAGAATTGGGAATGCTGGAGGACTGGTGCTGTTGCAATTTTACATAAGGTACTTTCAAGCAGAAAGAGCAAAGGAAGTGCCTGGTTACAGGGATATGCACACTGACAGGAAGGCTCGACCTTGGGGGGACGGATCTGGGAAAGAAGCTGCACAGGCCTAGAGCGGGCTTAGAGCCATTGGGCAGGGAATTCCAGCATCCCAAGGACCCAGATTGTGATGGGTAGTGGGGAAAAGTCAAGGGCTCTGGAAGACACCTCTCAGCCCTGCAAACACCTCACAATGCAGGGAAAGGCATGGCCACAGTGGGCTCCTCTAAAGCATGGAGCTCAAAAGTCCCCTCTTATCTGGGCTTTTGGAAGGACTTAAGATTTTACTCTCAGTGAAAAATTGAGCCATCAAAAGCTTTTGAGCGCACCTGATTTATATTTTTAAAGAATTTTTCTGGCCTCTGTGTTGAGAATCAACTGTAGGAAGGCAAGGTCAGAATCATAGAGTCCAGTTATCTGGCCGTTACAGTAATCACCACAGGAGATCATAATCGCACAGGCTGATATGGAAGCAGTGAGATTCTAGATACATTTGAAGGGAGGGCCTATAGGACTTGTTATTGAGTTGGGTGTAGGTGAGAGATGAAAGGAGTGGAGGTGGATCCAAGGTTTGTGTCCACCACCTGGACAAGTGGAAGATGGAGCAGAGGGAAGCAAAACTAAACAGTAAAAATGACAGTGAGGAGGCCGTGCTATGGTATAAGGAGAAATGATGAGGAGCTGAATTAAAGCAACGGATAGCGAAAAGAGGAGGCATCATCCAAGAAGAATTCAGGAAGTAGAATTAACAGGACTAGGGGATGGACTGGATTTGCAAGATGAGAGATGAGTAGGTTTAAGCTGACACCCAAGATTCTGGCTTGAAGTGGGTATTATTATTATTGGCATTATAGGAAAATGGGGCACAAAGAGTGTTTACAAACTGTCCAAGGTCTTAGAGGCTAATCATTTCTAGAACCAGGATTTGAATTCAGATGTGTCTGACTTTAGAACCTGAGCTCTTAACCCTTGCATGGGGCATATTATCCCTGGAAGAAAGAAGGCTGTTATTTGGAAAATACCTTTACAACAGTGTCTGTCTCTCCATTAGCAGTAGCTCAAGTAGGCAGTGTGCAAGGAAAGTCCCCTTGGATGGGCAAGGAAGAAGGGGAAGTTAAGCCCAGTGGTGGCTGAGCGAGGAGTCCTTTCTGTTGCCAGAACTACATGTTGTGTGCTATCCTTTCGTGCTCTAGAAGTAAGAATGCTGGACAAGTCCCAGGCCTGCTGGTGCAGCTTAAGATGATATCTTTTGTGGATATATTTGCATGTTTGATATATTTGCATTCTTCAGGTCTAGCTAAGGAGTGCCTTCAGCATTTCCCTATGGAAAGCACTGGATTGTGTTCCTGTCCCAGTTGTACTACCTCCTTCCCTAAAATAAAAGCAAGAATACTGCCTACTGCAGGCCTCACTTTATATTCCTGTCTAGCTACTGCCTCATCACTCTTCTCTAAAGTGTGGCCTATATTCTGTTATCTCTATATCTTTACCTGCTATTTTCTTTGGAATCCACACAGGTTTTCATCAGCACCAGATCCACTGATACCACACTAATCAGGCCACCCATGACCTCCATACTGCTAAACCCAACTCCAGGAGCTTTTGGCTCAACTGATCACTCCCTCCTTGTAGCACTTTGTTTTAAACTCTAGGTTTTATTGTTATTTAGCTATGGTGAGGCCAACAAATCAGGAAATGACTACCATTGAAAAAATATTTTTTATACTCTTTCCCAAGAGAAAGAGGCATGCGACACCACAGGAGGCAGAGGGTGAAGGGGGAATGTGGTCAGAAGCCTTTATTGTGGTTTTCACAGGAAGGAATGGCAAGGTGTGGGGAGCAGGCTTAGAATTGGCTAGTTTGAATCATTTTAAGAGGCTCTGAGGCATAGGGGCTGTCCCTTGTCCTCTGGTACCTGGCCCTGGGGTGATTAGAATAGACAAGTAGTGGCACAGAGTGTGAGAACCCAGTTAAAAAGGTGGTTGGAGGTATGGGTTCTGGATTGGTTGGTGTGCATTTGAAAGAACTTCTTTTGAGGAATCTGGTAATCCTAGGCGCAGCAATCCCTCCAGAGTCATCAAGACCCCAGATGTCAAAGCATCAGAGTACAGAAAATAAATGACATGGTTAATTTGCCTTTTTACTTTTACTCTCAATCCTCTTTTGCTAGTAGCCCCCTCTTAAAGATTGATAAATCGATAATGTTGGAATTCCCATATCTCAGTCTTTCAACACTCTCTTCCCTATCTCTCTTTAGGTGATGTCATGTGTCCTATTGGTTTTAAGTAACACACTTTGATGACTCCCAAACTTATATCTCCACCACCAAAGTTTAGACCACCTATTATCCAACTGCCTAGTAAACATCTTCACTTGGATGTCTAAGGGGCATCTCAAACCAAACACATTCCAAACATAATTCTTGTTGTCTGCTTCTCTGTCTTCTCCATTTTAATAAATTGTACCTGCATTTGCTCTAGCGATTCAAGCCCTAAACCTAGAAATTTAACTAGTTTCTATTTTTGTCAAGCTACATATATAACCTGTGAGAAATTCCCATCAAGTTTGAAAAATATAGAAGACAAATAAATGGAAAGACATTATGGCCCTGGCTGGTGTGGCTCAGTTGGTTGAATGTGATCCCAGACATCGAAAGGGTGCAGGTTTGATTCCTGGTCAGGGCACAGACCCAGGTTACAAATTCAATCCCCTGTCAGAGTGCATACAGTAGGCAACCGATCAATGTTTCTCGCTTACATCGATGTTTCTCTCATTCTCCCTTCCTCTCTCTCTCAAAAATCAAGAAAAACATATTTTGAAAAGAAGGGCACTGTGTGTTCGTGGATTGAAAGACTTAACATTATTATATGGCTATATTTTCCAATGGACATACAGATACAGCGCAGTCCCTATCAAAATTCCAGCTGCCTTTTGTGTGTGTGTAAATGAGTAAGCAGATTCTAAAATTGACATGTAAATACAAGAGAGCCAGAATAGTCTCCCCCCTCTCTCTTTCTCTCTCATACACACACACATGCACACACACACACACACACACACGCAAACATACAGATACACACCTGCAAAACTTGAAAAAGAGCATAGCTGGAGTATTCACATTTCTTGATTTCAAAACCTACAACAAAGCTACTGTAATCAAGTCTGTGGTACTGACATAAAATAGACATATAGTTCAATAAAATATAATTGAGAGTCCAGAAATAAACCCATACATCTATGGCAAATTGATTTTAGTAAGGGTGCCAAGACAATCCAACCTTTTAAACAAATTGGGCAGGGGCAATTGGATGTCCACACACAAAAGAATGAATGCGGAGCGTTGCCTCATACCATGTACAACAATTAACTCAAAATGCATCAAAGACCTAAATATAAGAGCAAAAGCTATAAAATTCTCAGGAGAAAACAGAGATAGAAATCTTTTTTTACCTTGGATTTGTGAGTGCTTCTTATATATGGCAGCTAAAGCACAAGCAATAAAAGATGAAACAGAGAAATTGACTTCATCAAAGTTAATTGTGCTTTAAAATTAAATGAAAACATTTGGGCTTCAAAGGACCTATCGAGAAGCTGAACAGGCAATCTTCAGACTGGGAGAAAATATTCGTTAACTATGTATTTGATAAACAGCTTGGTGGTTTCTCAAAAGGTTAAATGTAGAGTTACCATTTAATCAAGCAACTCCTACATATATACCCAAGAGAACTGAAACCATGTCTACACAAAAACTTGTATATAAATATTGATAGATTCGTTTGGAATAGCTAACAAGTGGACACAACCCAAATGTCCATCAACTGATGAGTGGATAAACATGTGGTTTAGACATACAATGGAATACTATTCAGTTATAAAAAAGAATGAAGTACTGATATGTGCTACAGAGTAAGTGAGCCTTGAAAATAGAAGCTAGACACAAAAGGCCACATATTGTATGATTCCTTTTATATGAAATATCCAGAATAAGCAAATTGATAGAGACAGAAAGTAGATTAGTGTTTGTCAGGGGCTGGAGGGAGAGGGAAGGGGACTGGGGAGTTTCTGCTAATGGGTATGGGGTTCCTTTTTGGGGTGATGACAATCTAAAATTAGTGGTGTGGGTTACGCAATTCTGTGAAAATACTAAAAACCACTGAGTTGTACCATTGAATCATCTGTTTTAAATATATACATATACACATGCATGCACACATGTACACCATACACACTCATAATTCTCTATATGTCAATTATTCTTCAATAAAGATGTTGGAAAAATTTTAATAAATTTAAAAGACAAATTATATATATGTATATGTACATGTATGTGTGTGTGTGTACTAAACCTTCAACAAGAACCATTTCTCACCTCCACTGACCCCACAACTCTAATCCAAACTATCATCATCTCTATGAAAATATTCCTCACTGATCATCTTGCTTCTAGTCTTGCCCCACCCACTCTCCTTCCCAACAATAGTCTATTATCTACACCAGAGCTGAGTCCTCTTTTAAAAATGTAAATAAGATCACATCATTCTGATCCAGATCCTCTGCTGGCTTTCTCCATTATACTCGGAGCAGCTCTGCTTTTACTTGACTTACATGTATGGCTCTAACACATTTCCCTTGAAGAAATGGTTCCATGGCTAATATAATTGTGAAACCCTTTTGGAAGACAAAATAACTGACAGTCATGCATCCTGTTCCTTTTTGCCTTCAATCATGAAAAGTCTTTGGATGGGAAAAAGACCTGTTAGCAAAGGAGAAAGTATAGGAGGTGAAATAGGACCAAGGTTGAGCACCCACTCAGCAGAGCCAGTTCTCTGCTCTTCCGGTTTAAACCTCTTAGTAACAGGTAGTTAGAGTGATGTGCGAACTCATTCACAGCATTCAAAAGAGCTTGACTACCTCACCTGCTCAATCAGCTATCAAATACTTGTTGAGAATCTAGCTCTGTGCTACTGAGCACTGTCCCGAGTGTCTGAAGCCCAGAGTTCTGGTCCAGCTGGGATAAATGGTGTGGATTATTTATTTGACAAGCAAGACTGGTTTTCAAGGGCCTACTACTGAAACTATGGAAGGCTCTGTGGGAGAGACAAAGAGATAACCACCAGTGTGGGTAGGTCAGAGGACTGCTTCATATTCAGAAAAGGCTATTAGAAAAGGAGGAAGAGCTTCTAATTTGGATTGGTAAAGAGGCCCTCACTTCCTCTTACCCTATCTTCCCTCTCTCCCATGCCCATAACTTCCCTTCCCAGATTCACTCCGCCATGGCCCACTGCCTCCCTTAAAGATTTATTTAGGAACCCTGGCTGGTCTGGCTCAATTGGTTGGGCGTTGTCCCATAAACAAGGGGTTGCAGACTAGATCCCTGGTACAGGGCTTGCAAGAAGTAGCCAGTCAATGTTTTGCTCTTTCTCTCTCTCTCTCCCTTTCTCCCTCTTAAATTAATAAAAATATATTTTTAAAAAATTTGTTTATAACTCATTTCCCTGTTTTTAGGAGTTGAGCAAGTCGCCAAGTCATGAGACCTGCAAAACTTTGGGAGGCCCTGAGACTTTCAATTGTCTGTTTCAGATCCAGAACAGAACATGTTCCTCCTGCTGCTAATTTTGAGCCTGGAACTACAGCTTCATCAGACAACAGGTAAAAATGAGCAAAGGGAGGGTCTGAGAAAGAGGCGCAGGAGATGGCCCCTAGCTGAAGCCAACGATGAGAATGTGGTCCTCAGGCTGAAGGCTTTCCTTGAGGGGAAGTGTGATTACTGGCTGTTACAAGCACAGCAAAAAGAATGGTGGCTTGTGCACACCCGTGTTCCTGTGTTACAAGAACAGGGACTGAGAGTATTGGTCCAGTGGAGGTGGTGACAAGAAGATGGAGCCTCTCAGACCATGCACCTCTGAACTGATACAAGAGGGTGTTGGTTGTTTGTCCTGAAAGGTGAGGTGCCAAGCAGCTGTCCCTTCTCTTCTGGCAGGGAGAGTGAGGAGACAAAGGTCAGGGGGATACCTAAAAGACTTTGTTACTCTAAATAGAGCCTCTTGCAGACATTCTGATGATTATTAAATATTTATTTTGTTGTAAGCAGTGGGAGCAGCACCAGGTGTTAGACTGATGGAGTCAGACTGGACCTGGGTTCAGCAACCTTGGTACTTGGGCTCTGGCTAGTAAAGAATTCAGAGCCAAGACTCAAACTATAAGAGAACATTTATTCGGAAAATCACAGAGGTGGAAGAAGTAATTCATAGAAGAAACAGGCTTAGGAAATAAGTTATAGAGGCAAAGCAAGGGCCTTAGGAGCTTGGGAGTGAGGAAGGTAATGGGGGAAAGGGCGGGGGGGGGGAAGGCATACTCCTGGGAGGGAGAGTGCTCTGAGCCCTCCATCCCAAGGGTTTTAAGGATGGAGATTTTAGAGGAGTCCCAGGGGAAGATCTTAATAGAATATTCAGCAGCTTTCCAGGTGTGTCCTTTCAGAGCCTAGGCCTCCACTGATTGATTGGTTGGCTCCAGGACAGGGGGTCATTATCCTATGCAGCTGGTTCCGAGGTCAGCTGTGGGATCACTTGTCTGGTTTTGCTGCTTGTCCAGGCCTAGAGCTGAAATACAACTGAGGCCTAGATGTTATCTCTAGGGAGAAAAGGTCAGGGCTTCCAAACTCTGTGACCCCTGATATGCTAGGGAAAGAAAGGTCACCCTGGGGGTGAGATCCCACCTACAATTGTCCTTTGCTAGGCACCTGGGGCTTTCCTCCCTAGTGACCTCCTGTACTTGGCCCATCGTCCTTGCTCTGCCCATGTCTGTCTAGCTACCTACCACAATTTGAATTCCTCTTTTATACAGCAACAGGAGCAGCCATTGGTCATTCACACGCTAATTGTGGAGGCTTGAATTGGAAAATCAGAGTCTTCCTAACCTCTAAATGAGTAATGCAATGCCTTTGGATATAGAAGAAAGGAGTTTTACCAGCAGGTGTGGAAGGGCAGCAAGGAAGTTGCAGAGTTTGTTGCTCTCCTAGGCAAGGTAGTTCAGACCACTTGCGTGTGCAGTCAGGACCACGAGTGCGTTATTTTGGGTGAACACCAGGAGGTAAGAGAGGAAGACAGAAGCGGTTGCAGGGGATTAGGCCCTCGATGATAGCAGCCTCAATCCCACGGGAAGTCACCCAACATTCTGCCTTTGATTGAGAAAGAGTGGCTTCTTTGGCACTAATAACCTTTTGAAGAACTTTCCCCTCCCTTCTTGGTGATCCCAAACTGCTCTTTACCCAGACACGTTCCTCTTCCTTCCTTGGGCTGGACAGCCTGGTCTGGAGGGGCCGTCCTTGGAGAATACACCAATATTCTGCTTACTCCAGCCCTGTCCTGTGGAGCCAGCTAAAGAAAGGTTTAGTGTTTCCTTTCTAAGGCACCCTGCCTGGCTGAGATTTTAGACACGTGAAAGGCACAAATGCCTCCTTGTTACCACAGAGCTTTAAGTCTCCATAAAGTGATAAGAAAAGCCAAAGTCAAAAGAAGGGTCTGAAGCTGCCGTTCCCCAGCCCCTGACAGGACTGGGGACTCCAGGAGAAACCTTGAGAATTGTGCAACCTCTGTGGGTTTGTAGCTTAAAAACACTGAGACCCTGGTTTTTTGGTTTTTTGTTGTTGTTGTTTGTTTTTGTTTTGAATTTTCTCTTAAGACGGGAGAGAGCTAGGGTAACAAGGGGCATCATTTTTTATCCCTTACTGAATCTTTCTCCAGAGACAGTACTTTTCTTTCTAAGATAAGTAGCACAAGGAAATGAAGATAGGTACTATTAGGGATACCAATGGGGCATAGGGAAGAGAATGTATATTTACTGAGGACTTACTAAATGCCAAATAACTGTGCTAGGAAATTTACATGTTATCTTATTTAATCGTCACAATAACTGTTTGGTAGATGAGGAAACTGGGACTCAGAAAAGTTATTTAATTTATCAAATATTACATAGTTATCAGGTGGCGTGGGCAAGCTTCCTGCAAAGCTACTGTCCTTTCTATCTTACGGTGCTACAATGGTGATGGTGAGCAAGTATGACAAACAATCCCTAGCCCACCCACTCTGGATTGGGTTTTTGGAGTTGATTATGGACACATATTAAATGTTTATTCTGGACATTCACAAAACCAAAAAATATATATGCTGAATTATGTTTATGAATTTACCAAGAGGAAACTATACGCATATTGTATCTTGCTTTCTCTACAAACTTGGAATTCTTCTCTGCTACATATTATGCAGATAATATCAGTTCAATCAAACATTAAATACCTGCCTAGATTAGAATGCCTATTCCTCATGGGGTTTTTTGTTTGTTTGTTTGTATGTTTGTTTTTGAAGTCTTGACATTTCATGTCTCCCTAATTAAAGAGTTTCTTATAGAGGCTACCTGAGAAAGAAAAGGCCAAAAAACACCTCCACAAAAAAACAACTAAAGCATCTGAGGACTGGTGAGATTACTTCTAGAGAGCAGATGAGTTCTGGAATGAGTGTAAAAAGGGAAAATTTATTTAGTATCTTCAGTGGGTGGTGGTTGTTTGCTTTTTTAACAAGAAGTATGCATTTACTTGTATATTAAAATAAGTCTAGAAGTGGATTACTTATATAATTAAAAAAAATTATTAAAATATAAGAATCCTTTAAAAAGAACATAGGAGCAATCAGGCTACAACATCCAGTGCCCAGGGAGAGTCATGGCTATTAGGGTGGCCCAACTGATGACCTCTCTTCCCACATTACCCTTGTGCATCCCTAGACCTACACTCTCCTTGAAAAAGAAAAAACAGATATATGAACTGGATCAATATAATTTCTTATTACCATCTCTGTTTAAATTTCTACTTTTAAATTTTATAAATAATACTTATAGCAGCATCGTTAGTCGTTAAAAAAAAAACACACCCCAACCCAAATGCCCATTTACAGGAGGATGCATACATTACAGTGTATAAGCAAAACAAATTATTATATAACAGATAAATTAATTACAAACACATGCAACTACACTGAAGAATTTTAGCAGCATAATGTTGAGTGAAAAACAAAAAAATCATGTATAGAAGATGACATCATCACAGTGTCCTTGTTATAAACAAAATATTGCTTAGGCATACATATATATAAGATAAAACTAAAAAAAAAATGAGCAAGAGAATGATAAACACAATATTTAAAATGGTGATTACCTTTGGTGGAGGCAGTAGATATATGTCATTAGTAATATTCTAGTTCTTGGCTTTTAGTAAGCACTGGTAAGTATATATTTATTTTACTGAATTCAATTTCTTAAATTATTTCTGCATTTAAACCTTTATACCACACATACAGAAAACCACATAAAACAAATGTAAAGCATAATGTTACTGTAAGGTAAACACTTTTAGAGCCACCCAGGTTAAGAAACAGAACTGTGCCAACCTCCCCAAAACTCTTCACCTGCCCCCCTCAATATAACCTTCTCCCCAGAACACTCCCTTGAGCTCTATCCTATCTGCCCCCTTTTTATCCCCATTAAATAAATTACTAAAAATTATTAAAAGAAATTTTAGTAAGCAATTGGTAAGTATATGTTTTTTATAGTTTTTATGTCAGCAAATATAGACATCCCTCATTTTTAAGAGGCTCTGCATACTTCATTGGACATGCTGTTATTTATTTAACCAGTCCACTATTGATGGACATTACAGTTATTTTATGGGTTTTTTTCCTGGTTTTATGCTTGAAAGAAATGTATCTCTCCTAAAAATTGTGATGAAAATTGATTCTCAGTATAATTCAAGTTAACCATTAATCATGTACTCTTTCATTACTTGTATGCTCTGAGGATGTTCTACTGTGGTAGCTATAAAACAGTTTAAAGTTTGAAGTAAAAGTTAGTGAAAAACATTTTCATTTTATTTTTAAAATATTTATTTTTAAATTGGTATACAGTAAAATTTACTCTTTTTCATTAAAAAGTCTATGAGTTTTGACAAACGCATAGTCATATAACCACTACCACAATCAAGATCCAGAACAGTTCCATCACTTGACAAACAAGCAATGAACAAACACAAAACCTCCCCCAAGTCTTAAGCCCAGGCACCCACTCTTCTCTACCCTATAGTTTTAATTTTTTCAGAATGTCATATAAATGGGATCATCATTAGATACTTTGTGTCTGCCTTCTTTCACTTAGTATAATGCATTTGAGATTCATCCATAGTGTCTGTATCAGCAGTTCATTCCTTTTTGTGGTTGAGTGGTATTTCACTATATGTTTATACCACATTTTTAAATTCAATCCCCAGTTGAGGGACTTTTGGGTTGTTTCCTCTTTGAGGCAATATAAATAAAGTTGCTATAAATATTTGTATTTAAGTTTTTATGAGAACATAGGTTTTCATTTCACTTGGTAAATACCTAGGAGTGGGATTGCTGGGTCATATGCTAAGTATATGTTTACTTTATAAGAAACCATCAAATATTTCCATAGTGTCTTTATCATTTTTGCATTTCCACCAATAAGTATGAGAGTTCCAATTGTTCCACATCTTTGTAAGCACTTGGTATTGACATTGTTTCTATTGTGTGTTTTTAAGTCAATCTGAAAGGTGTGTAGAAATACCTCATTTGGTTTTAATTTGCATGTCCCTAATATCTAGTGATGATAAGCATATTTTCACATGCCTGTTGGCCACTTATGTATCTTCTTTGGTAACGTGTATTCAAATTGTTTGACCAATTTTAATTGGGTTGTTTATTTTCTAATTGTTAAGTTTTGAGAGTTCTTTATAATTTTGAATAGAAGTCCTTTATCAACTATATGATATGCAAATATTTTCTCCCAATTTATGGCTCATTCTTTCATCTTTTTATAATGTCTTTTGCAGAGCAAATATTTTAATTTGATAAATTTCAGCTTATCAATTTTTTCTTTTATGAATTGTGCTTTTGGTGTCATGTCTAAGAACTCTGACTTACTGAAGCTCCAAAAGACTTTCTTCTGTGTGCCTCCATGCAGAGCTCCTACACACGGGAGTGCATGAGTCAGCTGCCAGAGCATGCTTTCACCTTAAAGCAGAAACTAAAGTTTTCTGAAAACTGTGGCTGTGTAAAGCAGCCCCCCAGCCCACCTTTCAAGTACATTAGGTAGGAAGTAGGAACAAGCCTAACGTCCTGTTGTTAAATGGAAAAAAAAGTATAAAATTAGTTTAAAGAGGAAGCTATCTTGGGAGGCAATGCAAATGATTTATTTTGTGTTTCCTGGAGATGTGACAGGTGCTGACTCCCATTGATGCCTGATGGCAAATAAAATGCAAAGTTTCCTCAAGAAATTTCAAAAAGGCTCCAGCATTATAAGTGTACCCTAATCTTATGTGTGTTTAACTGGATTACATAGATTCTTATCTTTTGTTAAAATATGTGGATTCAGTGGTCCAATATAATATCAAAATATGTACGTATTTTTTTAAAGGCTCCAGCATTACTCAAGGCAGCTGCTTTAATTTGTCTAACGAACCTGCATGTATAAATTTCTTATGCCCTGGCCAAGCCCTTTACCCTTGCATTAGTCCTAAATGAATGGGGGGGAAAACCTGTTTTGTCTGCTTAATTTTGTAGTCATGAGAACTTTCTAACTTTCTCCTTTGCCTGATAACTTCAAGAGTTCAATGCAGGTTGAAGTTTAATAACCATGAGGCGCATAAAATAGAAAACAAATGTGTTTCCCTTAGCACAAAGATGGAAAATATATATATATCTCATTCATGGGTATAGTATATACATGCCAGTGGATATATAGTCATATCTGTAAAGTTGTTAGGAGTATAGATTTCTGAGCCACAGAGATATAAATTTGAATTCCAACTTCATGAGCTACATTTTTTGACCTTGGGCAAGTGTATAATTTCTTTAAGCCTCAGTTTCCCCATCTGTAAAATGGGGATAGTAACTCCTACCTTGCAGGATTTAGGAAGCATCAAATGAGATGATAATGTAAAGGTTAGCCCGTGTCTGCCTCATTGTGTTCAGTAAATGTTAACTATTATTCTACTCCCATTAAAAATCCAAATGCAGAACAGAGTTGTAACTCTGCTTCTCAAATGTTAATGTGCACTTGAATCAAGCCAACAATGCTAAGATGCAGATTTTGCTTCTCTAGGTCTAGGCAGGGCCTGACATTCTGCATTCCTATAACTAGCTCCCAGGTGAAACTGAGGACAAACTGAATGACAGGATGATGGAAGATGTTTGCAAATACAGGTGTTTTATTTGTCTAACCAATGGTTCTCAGTGTTCTTTGCACATTAGAAGCTTCCAGGGAAATTCAAAAAAATGAATTTAATTTTAAAGGATCCTAAGTGGGGCCAGAGCATTAGTATATTTTAAAAGCCTCCCCAAATGACAATTAATCTTCTAGTTCTTCTGAGCTACTCAGACACATGATTCATGTTTGCTAATTGCTCTTTTCTCTTGTAAACATTAGCTGAAAAATGTCACCTGTCTGAGAGGTAGCATGCTTTATGCCTACAAGCCCTGTGCACACACCCCCTGTACGAGACAGACGGGGGAAGCAGGCAGAAAATGTATTTTTGTCTGAGGCCCTGACAGTCAAGAGGGGAGTTCTGCTGTATGCTGTGGGGAGTTCCAGAGGAAGTTATAGGCGTTCCTCTCATGAAAAGAAAGCATAACTGTGATAAATAAATTTGTTAAATAAATTCAGTAGATACTACACCCAGAGTCCTCTAAATCTTGTTATATCTCAGACTCAGACACTAATCTTCCTGGCAAACCCTGTTTCTCTTCCCTGCTTCCTGTTTTAGCATGTGCAATAAAACAAAGAAGGAAGTACTGTGAGGAGAGTTAGAGTAGTGCAAATTCTTGAATCTGGCACATTGAAGATGTCATATATTTGATACATGAATAAATAAGTGCTGTTCTTCAGGGCCGAGCAGATTTGGTGTCAAGCGGCTCTGTCTTACTTATAAGGGGGCTTCATAATTCAAGTCTTTGAAGAGGATTCTTATCATAAAGGGATCTACCTTTAAGAAGGTCCTGTTTGGGGGACCCAAGGTGAGAATTATTACAAGTGTTCAGTGGATTCCAGAAAATGGAATCATACAGGAAATTTGGAAGCATGACATCTCTTTTCACATACATCATCCCAGGGTGTTCTCAACCTGGCCAAGCAAATGCAAATGTGATCAGCATTGTTTTACACAGAAGCACTCATGTTCTATAGCTCTGCCCCACCCCCACCCTGCACAAAAGAATCCTTTCTGTACCATAGATCTCTGTTACAAAGGCATGTTCATGTTCTAGTCCTGGTTAGAACAGGGGTTGGAGGCCAGATGTAAATTTGTCAGTGATTTTTGATAAATCTCAAGTTTGTGCATAGCACTTATGATCAAGTATGCTGTGTGTGTGGTAATTAAGAATGCCAATTTGTGTGATCTTGGGCAAGTTGTGTTTTGATGAGAGGAAAACAGAAGTGAATACAATTAGATTCATTCTTTCTTTCTCCCTCTTCCTCTCTCTGTCTTTTGTTTGCCAAACCTTAACTGGAACTTAGTATGTGCTAGATAGGCACTGGAGATACCAAAACAAAGTCAACCTGGCCACTGCCTTCATAGACTTGTAAGATAGTGGAAGGAAAACCATGAGTAAGCAGAGAATTGCAATGCGAATGATTTAAGCAACTTATAAAAACCCCAAAATTACTTACACTGTGAAATCTGTTGCCCAGGATGGTCAGGGAAAGAGCTTTCCTGGTTAATAAAATATTGTCATTAATAAAGAATAGCCAAGCATTCCATATATGGAATGCCAATTACCACTTTCCCAAGAATTAAAACATGGTACAAAAGAAAGGAACCAGTTTGTTGACCACCCACTACCTGCCAAAATCAGATACTTCACAGGTGCCATTTTTCTTAGTTTTTACAATACTGGGAGGCAGAAATTAACCTTGTACCTTTACAGATAAAGAGGCTGAGACTCATAAAGTTTAAATGACATGATCAAGATCAAAGAGCTCATAATCCCAACACAGTCAGAATTTAAGCCCAGGTCCATCTGTCACTAAATCCAATACTCTTTTCATACGCTTTTTATACGGAAGCAACTCCTCAAGTACCATATGTTTAGAAGCCTCCCCAAATATTTATTGTAAGGTTAGTCTGGCTGATTAAATGAATGAATGAATGACGCAAGCTGTACCGAACATAACTTGATCTAACCTCCTGTCATGATTCAGGATCTTGCTGTACCTTAGGTAGTGAATATCCATTCATTAACGATGGAGGCAGCAGGATTTTGTACAATCTCACCCTTTCTTTGTGCATGCACCACCTTCATTAGTTTACCATGTTTGACTATATGTTATTGTTTTTGTAAAATTCTTTAAACCATACATAAGCCAACTTTTATGTTTTTGAGAAAAATGGTAAATGGAAAACCAGCATCCCTGGTGCTGGTAAACAGAGGATAAGAGCAAATATAAATGCAGTGAAAGTAGAGTGGTGTTATTAAAATCTACCCAGATACTACTATCTGTCTGGGAACTTCCTGTTTTATTAAAAAGAAAAATATTCATTGTTGGAGGTGTGAGTCTGGTTGCAAATTATGTGTAATGTGAAGGATTGAAATAGAACTGAAGAGGAAACAACTTCCTCTGAATAATCCAACTCCCTTTAGGCCCTGATTTTGCCCCATCTAAAATCATTTTGTATACTTCTAGTGGTAAGTGCCTCACATTTTGGGAAATACTGCTTTAGTGAAAACTACAGATTTTGAAGTCAGATACCTGACTGGCTCTGGATTTTAACTTGACTAACTATATGTCCTGGAGCAAACCTCTTTGAGCCAGTTTCCTCAACTATAAAACAGTAATAATAATACGTATTTCATGCTCATGTTTTCAAGATTAAATGATATAAAGAGCTTAGCATAGTGCCTGGCAAATAGTAGGCACACACATAATATTAGTTCCATTCTTCCTTTCCCCTTGTTGACAGAAAATAAGCTTCTACGGTGGGTTTGTATGATGGGTGGTTAAGAGCAATTGGGATTTAGCAATACCTGGGTCTGACCCTGGCTGTGCAATCTTAGGCAAGTTGCTTAACCCTTCTGTGTCTCAGTTACCTTTGCTAAAAAAGAGGTGGTTCTACCTTGCTGGGTTTCCTGGGAAGACTAACTGAGATCATGTGTTAGCAGAGGCCTAACCCATAATAAGAACTCAATACGTGATAGTCGTTGTTATTACAGCCACTAGTGAAAGGTAGGTGATGTTTTGCAGGGAATGATGTAATTTGATTCACATGGGAAGAATGAGCCTGGATAATAGGTGGTAGGAGGGCCATCAGCTGCACAGGCAGGGAGTGTTGAGAGGTAAAAACTGCCACCTCAGAGCAAGGGATAGAGAAGTCTGCTCTTGCCCAGGCTGGATGGGGAAAGGAGGGAAAAGAGCCCAAGCGATGCCCAGACAACGACAGGTATTTCCTAGAAAATGGCAGTGGCCCGAGTCTCTCCGGCTCCCACTCTGTACAGAGCTGAAATGTGAAGGCAGACAATGGAGAACGTCCTGTTTTCTGTTCAGCTTTATTCAGAGTGATGGCCCCTCAGGAACTGTACACAGTAGAACATGGCGACAACGTGACCCTGGAGTGTGATTTTTACGGAGATGATCTGGAAGTGGAACATGTAGAAGCCAGTTTGCAAAAGATGGACAGCAATGTGTCCTCGCACAGCGCCACCCTGCTGAAGGAGCACCTGCCCCTGAGGAAGGCCTTGTTCCACTTCCCCCGGGTCCAGCTGAGCGACGCAGGCAAGTACCGCTGCGTGATCATCTACAGGAGCTCCTGGGACTACAAGTACCTGACTCTCAAAGTCAAAGGTGAGTGCGTTCAGGGGCTGGGATCTGCCGAAGCATCTCTCCAACGGTGACCTAAAACGAGCTCAAGCTAGAGCTGGGAGGGTGTTTATAAGGAGACAGCGCTATCTCAGAGAAAAGAAAAGTACCTGTTCAGAAACAGTTTTCGACAGATGAGTGTAAAGCAGCTGAGGTAAGAGGAAATGGGGGTGGGAGTTGCGGGAATAAATGGGGCTAGAGGAAGCCAGGAAATGAGACCTTGAAAGGTGGGAGGGTGCCAAAGACTGGCTGGCCTAATTCATAGTTTTTTCCAGGAGCAACACTACTGGGTTATTAAGCTACTCTTTGAGAACAGCTTGTCCCTCCAGTCCAGAGTTATTTAAACCAGGGTTTGCCTTCCACTTGTGAATTAAAATATCAGTTTAGTGAGTAGTAATCAGGTGGATGTCTTTTCTCCAATAAAATGACGGAATAAAATGAGTAGAATACGTCAGAGGGTATCACATAGTAGGGCTGTTGTTTTGTGAAACCCTTGCTTCAGAGGGTGTGTGTACGTTGGCTCGTGGTGTAAAATATTTTTCTCACTCTGGGTCTGTCTACAATATTTGGGAAGCACTACTCTGCTCCTAGCTTCATTAATTGCAGATAAAGCAGAAATTCACAGAAGTGAAATGGGTGGCCTGAGGGAGCCCATTGAAGTCAATAGCTGTCCCCATTCCTCTGGGTTCAGGGNCGTCTACAACATTTGGGAAGCACTACTCTGCTCCTAGCCTCATTAATTGCAGATAAAGCAGAAATTCACAGAAGTGAAACGGGTGGCCTGAGGGAGCCCAGTGAAGTCAATAGCTGTCCCCATTCCTCTGGGTTCAGGGTTTTTTCCACCGCAACAGGAGCCAAGAACCTAAATCTGAAGAGAATCTTCAAGTTCTTGTTGGTTCTAGGAAAGGTCGTTTTGGGAAAGACGTGTAACAACTATAAAATAATAGATTTGGCTCTGCCCATTGGCTTGTGGTTTTTAGTCTTCGTTGACTGTTCTGAGTTCAACTGTACCAGTTTTTCTCTGTCTCCTCCTGATCTCCTGTTAGACCTCTGTTCTGTCTTCTCGAAGGTCTGTGGATTTTGGTCCCTAAAGACTAGTCAGTGACCTTGGAAGCAATGGTGTGACCTTATGATCCGGTACAAAGAAGGACACACTAAAAGGATGAAGCATGAGGGTGAATGTTGTTTTCACCTGTGACCTTGGGCAGGTTATTTCACCTTTCGTAATCTCAAATTTTTCTTACCTGCAAAAGGAGGGCAACAGTAGCACCTGCCACATAGGATTATTGTAAAAATTAAAAGAGATAATGGACATAAGGAACTGAGCACGGTACCTGGCATAAGATATGATGAGTGTCCAGAGATTTGATTCAAACACCCTCAGTTGTTGCAGGGACAGTGACCTCCTCATACCTCAACTATCCACACGTCATCAGGAAAGCCTTTAGCCAGGAGATACCTGCCTTCTGTCTTTACTGCATTTCTCACATCCGAGCTTAAACTGGGAGGAACTCCCAGAACATTGACATTAGTCAGAGTTCAATTAACAGAAAGAGAGAGGGCTGTACATTTTCATGATCCCCTAATGGACTCTGGTGTCTGCACCTCTAAATATCTGCCCCCATGATTGTGGATCTCTGTTTGAATGCTCTAATGCACGTAAGGTCTTTAGGCAGTTTGGGGCCAGTCATCCCACTTTTTCTCTGTGGCTGAGAGCTATTCCTCATTCTTGGGAAGGCACCCTGCCTGCTTCCTCGCCTAGACCAGGGATGGCTCAAGTGTGGAGCAGATTTATTCCTTAAATGTTAATTAATTAATTCCTTAACTTGTTAATGGTCTCCAAACAAGGATGTATGAGGGTCCCAAAGACTTTCTGAGGGACGCATAGGCACATGCACTTTTAGGAAATGAGTTTCTCAGTCTTCATCTTCCCCAAGCACTCTTTCCCCCAATTGAGTGTGCCTGAGAATGTGCCTTCCAGGCAAGGCTCTTGGGGATCCCCTAGAGCACTTCCTCTTTTAGTATTGCTTTCTCCCACAGCATAAAGGGCCCACCTGTCATCTGTCATGAATTCAGTGCATTGTCCCACAGTGTAAAAGGCTCCATAACCCTAAAACAAAGAGTAATTAGAAATATTGATAACTTATCAAACTAATGACTAACAAATCCTTTTGCAGCTGAAAAGGTAGCAAATTCTCTGTTTTCAACAAAATTGAAGGAGGCGCTCTGAGAGTGAGCAGCCCATAGTAAGAGATGAAGTAATTTTTGCTGTGTAAATCATAAGGCTTCCAAAAAATTAAGTGCATTACTTCCATCCCCACCAACTTATTCTGATAAACAAGATTCCTTAGCCCTTATAGCTATAAGAAATGAAAAGTGTAAGTAGAATTGATGCTGAATCTTGTCTCATTTCAACCGTAAATCATATGGATCCTCAGGTTCATGAGCAAGTCAAGAAGAAAAGCTCCATCCATCCCATTAAGAGATGCATTTCCAGTAAACCTTTATCTTTTGTGTTTAATAATTATCAATATTCATATTTTATGTTTTTATTTTTATATGTACTAATAATAATGGGAATTAAATTTCAATGCAGAAGAAAGCTTTGATCACTTAGAGCCTTATGGTCACAAGAAAAAAAATTTAATTTCAATAGCCATACATAGTTTGTTGCTGCAAAGAAACATGGGGTAATCAATAAAAGAGCTTTTAAACATGATGCGTTAGGATAAAATCCTAAAGAAAAAGTGGAATGGGAACTGAGGTCCAAGGAATAAAAAAGAAACCAAGTAAATCTCTCACCATTAGAGAAGAGTTTTTGTGTGTATTTTTCAACGGGTGGTGGTGTTTATAAAAAACACCTTCTTTGAAATCTAGGTGACATTGAATACATGTGTAAGAGTGAAAGAATTGTTTTACTAAAAATATAAACGTTTCTAAACTGCTAAACATCATATATTTTTCCAACCTAGAAACATGAAAAACTTTAAGAATCAACTTAATATGTGAGAGGGTGCATACTGCATCCCAATTCTTTTAGGAGGAATGC